CAACTGCTTTTTGGTATTAGTTATAAATGAAACGCCATCCTTTTTCATTTTTAATTTCTTCTTTTTCTATTTAATGTTAAACTTATTTGGGTTTGTTGATACAAATAAAACAACAACCAATTATATAATATTTTATATGAGAATCATAAATGTTGCTTACAAATCAAAGCCAACTACGATACTGCATAGCTATTTTACAGGAATTAAATAGACAACAAAAATCTGTTTGGATAAATGGTATTGACCAAAGAATACTCTCAGAGAATACTAATGATTTTCCCCGAGGAAAGTTTGGTTCACAGGTACTTTTAAAGAAAAAATATTAATTACTTTTGTAGGCCTATATACATATATTTCGTTTTAGACTTTATTATTTTCGTGTTAAGATGAAGTGCACGTTTGTTCGGTGATTTTATACGAGATTACTTTCTGAAAACTTTACTTTACTTTCTGAGATAAAAAATGCTAGGTATGCGGTTTGCTCTAGCTATATATAATGACAGTTACCTATTTTAAGACTAAAACTCAATCCGACATAAGAGTTATATTTTATTCGCAAAAATATACGCTTTGTCTTTATTGAAAGGTGCAAAAGAAACGATTTTTGGATTTAAAACATTTTTATATTTGTTTATTTTGAAGATGTTTAAAGGAATTAATTTAATGATTATAGGATTTGGGGAATGTTAAACATTCGTGAGCCCTGAATCAAACTTGTGTCTGAAAACAGTATTATCGCAGTGATGCGGAGGAATGCTCGACAAAACGAAAATTCAGAAAACTTTACCGGGGAAACAAAAAAATTGTGCAATCTGAGTTGTTATAATAGCACCGTAATGTAGGCAAAATGAAAATTGAGAGTTTGGAAAAGGAATTTTTAAAATTGAAAATTAAATATTTAAAATGCTTTGATATGAATAAATGACGAAAGAAAAGACATACGCCATACGCCATAAAGTTAATTGTTTACCTCTAGACCGTCTTGAGCTATTTGCTCAAAGAAGAATAGTAGAGTCTTAGACTAATGATATTGAAGTTTTTTAAACAGGCAAAAACAAATGGACGGCAACGAAAAATCAAAAATATTCAACTAAGAAACGTCATCGTCGCAGTACTAAATTTAAGAGTAAGTAAAAGATTTCAAGAACTCTAATAACGCAATTTGTTTATATCTGATTGCATGTCCAATGGTTAGAGATACACCTTGTAAATAAAGTGTTTTTATTTAAAATGTGTTTTCTTTCCATTCATAAAAATATAAATCTCCATTCCTAATTACACTAATCTAATGATGATTGTACATTACCAAAAGCTACTTTTATTTGGTATATCTGTATAGTGAAAAATGTTTGTTTGATTTAATTAATAATTTGAAAAATTCGAAGGATACCTATCTAATTTAGTTACTAATATATTCATGAACCAGTTAAGTAGGCTATCCTAAAAATATATGCATCATAAAATTAGATGCTATTTACCGGATCAGAGTAGATCCTTAGTGATATAACAAAAATTGCAGAACCGGACATCAATTTAATCAACAATTGCTCTAATATTTTATTAATAATGTAATAAGGAATAACATATTAATATATTGAAACCCAAGCAAAACCAATTTTAACAATTGCGTAGTACAAACTGGCGTAAACAACGCAATATAACATATAAAAGTGTTGTGTACAAGCTGTGAGTAGCGGCTCGAGGACTGCAGTGACGTCACTGCCTCAGTCCGATGGGTGAGGGGGAGAGAGGGGCGCGCTCTGTCTGGCCCACCTCTTTTACTCCATGCATCTTGCACCTACCTAGGTAACCAAACATTAAAGAAGCATTTTATTGTTTTATCCTTGGTTGTTTTGTTATTAGGTAGGCCTAGGCCTATTTGTTTTGTTTCTTTTGGGTACACTTCCATATCTGTTGGTACAAACAACCGAATGAGTAATATCGATTGATATATCGAATTAAACAATCGAATAATTAATATTACTCATTCGGTTGTTTGTGTCAAAGATATGAAACTGCACCCTTTCTTTTTAATAGGCCTAACTTATTATTTATTTTTGGTCAATTTAAGTTAGTCCTAGACAGTAGTTTAGCCTAATTTCTTAAATAGGTATGAACAAAAACCGTTCCAACCATAAATCAATTTGATGTTTAGCGACATACATTGGAAAAAAAGAATTTTATTTAATCGAAAAATTGAATCGGATAAATATTGATATGCATTGTTAAGATTAAATGTATTTAACTTACTCATCCGATAAAATATTTGGCAATTATTTAGTATGTCTACATTAAGAAATGATGTAATTTTTAGATGTTTCCTTACAGCATTTTTCACGCTGATTCCAAAAATGCAATCCATTTTTGTCGGAAAGATTCCTAAGTGGATGTAAAACGAAGGTTAAAATTACGAATCTGAGGTTCATTTCGTGGTTCGGATGGTAATATGGCGTGGTCTGGACGGGTCCGAATGTGGGCTGAGGACTGTGTGAGCAAAGCAAACAGCTGTTTATACTTGACTCAATGGGGAATTAAATCAATTTGTTTTGAAACTAAATAATCAGCTCTTAGTTAGGCATGTGGGGAAGGTAGGTTGGGTTTTATGTGAATTTGTGACTGTATTAACTGTTTTGAAGTTAGGTTCGATTAGGAAGGTAAAGTTTAGGTTATAACGAACCGGCTCATTAATTTATGCTACCTCCAGACTGTCTTTGCACAATTGAAATAGTGGTTGAATCACAATGAAATAATAATATAAAAAATGCTTGCAAATAAAACAAATTGAAATATTTATCTTGTTATTTTTACCTTAAATTCAATATCCATAGGTAGGCCTACAGTACTTTAATTGTTTCTATATACAGGCTTCTATTCTTCTGGTAACATGGTCCTACAGGTTAAAATACTTAAATAATAACATTGTTATGCATTTTAAATAGTAACATTGTTTTGCATCTTCCCTTAAGAAGGAGTTCCAGAGATTACTTATGAAGAAAATTATTTTTATAAAATAAAAAAGAATATAAGATGTTTTAACATAAAAACCTAATGAACTATGCATTAAAAATTCAATAAAAATTAAAAAGTGAAAAAATTGTTAGTAAAAGTTTTGAACATGCCCGACCGGGATTTGAACCAGGGACTCCAGCATCAAACTCCGATCACTTAGCCACTACACCAAGGCCACTTCTAATCACGTATTGTAACGAAAGCCATTACGAATACGAGAATCTAGGTCTCGTAATCGTAAGAACATTCCCAAAAATTGTCTTGCTCGGTAGAACTTTTACCAAACGAAATTCGACTGACTACAACAGTTCCTACAGATTTAATCATTTATTGATCTCATAGGCCTATCTATCAATGAAGTGAAAAATTGGAATATTTTAAAGAAAATGTGAAGAGGGGTTCACCAGTTAATTAATAATAAAAAAGTAAGCCATAGATAAGTTAGGCCTACACACAATGTTATCGTAGGCTAACTTAAGTACTTTAATACTTTTTTTTAATGGTCCTTTACTTATGCTAAAACAAATGGTTGGCAACCATATGACACAAAAACAACATTGATTGTGAAAGGCCTACAATAAACAACACTCTACAAACTAAACAAATTAAAACTATTTTTTTTACTCATGCGTTAATTTAGTTAAAAGTTTTTTCATTTTCTCTGTCAATGGTTACTATCTTTTTTAGGCTTGGATTTTATTAGAATAAAGTGTGGATAACATAAAATGTTAGTTTGTCTCTTAAAACACAAATTTTACCAATTTCATATTCCATATATGGTCAGATCTGGATGCCAGATACGATCAGATCTGTGATGAACTAACTGTGATCTGAACTAATTCCATATCTGGTTAGATATGGGTGCCAGATCTGGAATATGTCCAGATATGTCATCCCAGATCTGGCCAGATAAAGAATCCAGATCTGGGACCAGTCCACTTTCCCATAAGGGTTACTAACACCATTTTATGGCATCAAACTATTGAATATTATTCATAAGAATTCCGAATTAACCACAGTACTCAAATTGCCATTCGCGATAGACCTAGGGTACTCTTGCATTACTTGCTCTAGCTTTTATAATTAACATTATTTATTCAATTTATGATAGGGCCAGGGGCCATCACATAAGGTTTAAAATCTTGTAAATTTTATGTTTTTTTTTTTACTTTTATGGTTGATATAGGGGATAGAGTCTTACTGTTATTCAGTGCTCGATTTGGGGGGAATGCAGTGGAACGGAGTTCCGGTACCTCTCTTTCAGAAAGATAAAAATATTTGCATAAATAGTTAGTTACCTACATAAATAGATATTTCATTACATTTCATTTGACTTCAGTTAAAAAAGGTAGCCTTAAAAAAAAACTTGAATTGAATGATGAACGGTTTGCTGAATATAAGAAAGAATGGTATAAATATTAATAATTCTCTCAATGCACCGTAACAACGTGGTTACAACGAGGTTTTTACCAAAAAGTTTGCCGAAATCTTTAAAATTTGAATTCAGGGGATTTTGTGGGTAATCAAGACTTGATTCCGGCTAATTGCGGGGATTACCACCGTATTTTGCGGGTAAAATGAGCAAGTTGGGTTGGCAACGCTGGTCATCACTGCCACTGTCGCCGCACGAACTTGCGGCGGGCCGCAGAGGCAGGGTTAAGGGGCACCAAAGACTAAAGACAGATTATATATTATGGTAGCCTACATGGAATTGTCTTCGTTCATTCTCATACGCGACTTCGGAGCGTACTCCTAGTTATTTTTAGTATGAATACACGAGTGAACCGTTCCTGGATACAATTTGTTATCTTATTGTGCTGATTTTTTTACTTATCACAAATCTGAGAGCAATGATCATGACTGTGTTTATAAAAAATGTCCCTTGTATTATTTTTTTCACAGAGTCAATTGCTGCAGCTTGCTTCTAAAATAGGACGGCTTGACACACCCTGACAATCTTGCTTGTCTGACAAATGACACTTGTGTTTCAGAATCTCTGCGGGAGTACTTTAGTAAATACGGGGAAATCACGGAAGTAATGGTCATGAAGGACCCCACGACGCGCCGGTCGAGGTGAGTAACTCTCTCTCTCTCTCTCTCTCTCTCCCCCTCTCCCTCTCTCTCTCTCTCTCTCTCTCTCCCTTCTTTCTCTTATATTTCTCTCCACATAAGCAGCATTCCATGTGTATTTGTTTACAAGTAATTACATATTTTGTATTATTATTGCATGTTGAAATTGCATATTAGAGTAATTACATATTTTGTATTATTATTGCATGTTGAAATTACATATTAGAGTAATTACATGTTGAAACATCGATATAAAATGGCCAATGCAAATATTTGAAATAACAAACAAATCTTTTTTAGAAGAAAGAAGATGACAAAGAAAAATGATAAAAATATATAGGTAGTGTAAACTTGCACAGCCGGAGTTTTGTATTTTTAACAGTAAATTTGTTTCATTATTTCATAACACTTTTTATTTAGATTATTAATCTTCCTTCAGTCACCTCCATTTCACTAAATATTATTTATGCACCGTAACAGTTTTGATCCCACACCTGATACGATATTATGTTTTCCAAACCCAATTTTTAACTACATTTAACATTTAAAAAAATACTCATGACTTGTAGGACTATAATTAATTAGCTACACAACGATTAATTTGTTATAAAATTGTATAAACTCTATGTTATAGCTTTGTTATCGAAATGTAAAGTATGTTACGAAGCTATAACCACCGTCAATTCAGGTATAAGGTTATGATAAACCTACGGCCATAAACGTAACGTAGTAAACGGTCGCACGGGTCGTGTTCTGCTCGTAAACCTCATCGTCAAGTGAGATATTCAATATCAAGGTCGCCTCACAGCTGTCACGACTTGTTATCACCTTGCAGTATCACTTTATTAATAAGAATATGAAAATGGAACTTATATGCCTAAACCCGTATGTAGAACTACCTTAGAGTAGGGAAATTATTAGATAAACGACCTCATTTCTCAAGATCAGGTGATAAATATATCAGACGAGATTAACAAAAGCATAGAAATAACCAACCCGGTCATTAAAGACGTAAACAGATTCTTTCAAGTTATTTTTTTAGATTCAATCCTACAGCCACCTACAGTAGGAACATTATTAGATAAACGAACTTATTTCTCTGGATCAGGGGATAAATATATCTGACGATGTTAACAAAAGCATAGAAATAACCGACCCGGTCGTTTAAAGACGTCAACAGATTCTTTCAAGTTTTTTTTTCAGATTGAATCCTACAGCCACAGTAGGAACATTACTAGATAAACGAACTCATTTCTCTGGATCATGTGATAAATATATCAGACGAGATTAACAAAAGCATAGAAATAACCGACCCGGTCGTTTAAAGACGTCAACAGATGCTTTCAAGTTATTTTTTTTCAGATTGAATCCTACAGCCTCCATACCGGAAACCATACCGGGTCGGAAGTAAGTGTCTTTAATCTAGTCTTACCAAAGTATTTTATTATAAAAAAATTAGATGAATGTTTTGAAAAATCCTTAGAGCATATAAAACAGTTAAAAAGAGTATAAATAACTTTTTAAGTTTACTCTAGCGTATACAACATTATTCACTATGATTTAAAAGTTAAAGTTTTATTTTCGGTTAATTATGGCATTTTAACATCAGTAATCAGTGATCCCGCGAGAAGCGTGTGTAGCTTAGAAAACCGTTTCTAGATAGAAACCTACAGTCTGGAGCCATATGGCCAGAAGTCTGCCAAAACCAGCCGATTGCGTAGAGGATATTTTTTTATTTTTAGCCGGTGACTTTCTTGACCCTTTCTGTCAAGTAACATTTCATCACCCCTGGCCATTCGTCAAAGCTGTCTAGTTTATGTTTAGTATTTATAATTACAGGTCTATAGCTCAAGAAGGTACTTATGAATCAATTGTAGCCAAATCAAGCATTTTTTATGTTCATATAAAATAATTATCACCATTTACGTGGTTAAGGGGGATGAAATCCATCCCTGTCCCCTTCAGCCGAGGTAACAAGTAAATATATACAAACACCTATTCAACCTGTCAGTCAGATGCAACATACATTAACCAAAGAAAGTAGAGGGGAGACTTCCTCTCAAACCTCCTAAATTTTATTAACAGACTATAGCACTATAAATACAATATACCTTATTTATTCTTGGCTACATTCCAAACTGAAAACCATTTAATACCTTGACCAAAAAATAAAATATTTGCTGGCTTTGGCTTTTTTCTTTTTTCTTGTGTTTTTATAAACTGTAATAAAAGTTGAGAATAAGCTATTCAAAAAGTCCTAACATATCTTGGGACGTAGAGTCTGATGAAAATCCGCAACTGACACAAACACTTACAGAGCCTACACACGGAGTACAATGTATCCTATAACAATTACAGAGCCCACACGCAGAGTACAATGTATCCTATAACACTTACAGAGCCTACACGCAGAGTACAATGTATCCTATAACACTTACAGAGCATATACGCAGAGTACAATGTATCATATAACACTTACAGAGCCTAAATGCAGAGTAAAATGTATCCTATAACACTTACAGGGCCTACACGCAGAGTACAATGTATCCTATAACAATTACAGAGCCTACGCGCAGAGTACAATGTATCCTATAACACTTATAGAGCCTACACGCAGAGTACAATGTATCCTATAACACTTACAGAGCCTACACGCAGAGTACAATGCATCCTATAACACTTACAGAGCCTACACGCAGAGTACAATGTATCCTATAACACTTACAGAGCCTACACGCACAATACAATGTATCCTATAACACTTACAGAGCCTACACGCACAGTACAATGTATCCTATAACACTTACAGAGCCTACACGCAGAGTACAATGTATCCTATAACACTTACAGAGCCTACACACAGAGTACAATGTATCCTATAACACTTACAGAGCCTACACGCACAGTACAATGTATCTTATAACACTTACAGAGCCTACACGTAGAGTACAATGTCTCATATAACACTTACAGAGCCTACACGCACAGTACAATGTATCCTATAACACTTACAGAGCCTACACGCAGAGTACAATGTATCCTATAACACTTACAGAGCCTACACGCAGAGTACAATGTATCCTATAACACTTACAGAGCATACACACAGAGTACAATGTATCTTATAACACTTACAAAGCCTACACGCAGAGTACAATGTATCCTATAACACTTACAGAGCCTACACACAGAGTACAATGTATCCTATAACACTTACAGAGCCTACACACAGAGTACAATGTATCCTATAACACTTACAGAGCCTACACGCAGAGTACAATGTATCCTATAACACTCTCGGGAGAAACCACATAAATAAGACGGGATATTCTATTCCTATTTATCTGCCTACTAGCAGAGTACCCGTCCTTCGTACGGGGTTGGCATATAAGTAGCAAATGCTTATAGCAGTTATGAGTGAGGACATGGTTTAAGAAATTTCGGTTCTTTTTGAAGTTCGTTCGCTACGCTCACTCACCTTTAGGTTGGAGCTCGTTCGCTGCGCTCACTTTCCTTCAGGTTAGCTCGTTCGCTACGCTCACTTGCCTTCAGGTTAGCTCGTTCGCTACGCTCACTCGCCTCCAGGTTGAAGTTCGTTCGCTACGCTCACTCACCTTTTGCTGTTGTCATAAATGTAAAAGAAATAATAGTGCTAGTGCTGCACCCTGTTGGTAATCCTTGTAACTTTTAATGCTATTGAACATCATAGAACATAACCAACTTGTTTAATTGAAACAGCTGTTAAGATTCATTAATTCCATTTCTCATAAGGTTAACATGGGAAACTCCAGAGCCACTGGGGCGGAGCCCCGAAGGATTTTTTGGGATAAAAATATGCCTATATGTTAATCAGGAATGTGAGCTATCATCATGCCAAATTTCAGCCCGATCCGACCAGTAGTTTTTGAGATTAGCTCATACAAACACACACACAGACACCACCTCTTCTTTATAATAGTATATAGATATCCGTGACAAGTATTTGACAAATAAGGGTATAACTGACTCTTTGGCTACTCGCTACCCAAGTCCTAATATTAGCTTTATTCCTCTTATGTTATTGATAGCTATATGTTATTATACTATATAGCTATTCGTTATTGATATACTATTACAAGTGTAACAGGAAAAACAATACTTTTTTACATATCCTTTGAATATTTTCATTTTGCATATACATGGTGTGTCGGGGAATCAATGATTTTGACTTATAATTCTTTTCCGCTGGAAATTCCTAGGTTTGATGTTCATATAGTATACCTAATACATATAAAGGACGGACTAATGGCCTCCAGAGCTTCCATTAAAATCATTGATTAAATGAAATCTCAAGTATCAATCAGTATGTTTATAAATAGTTATAGGTTGTAGGGAAATGGCTGTTGAAAATTATGTGAATGTAAATTAAAAGACACAAACTCGTTTGTGACGTGTTAAGACTATTAAAATAAACCTAAACCATGAATTCGCACAAATGTTGAAGAAGAAACTAATTGCATATACATGCAGATAACAGGGGTATTGATTGTTTGGATGTGTTTTAATAATTTCAAACTTATTAGGTAGTATAGAAGTTATTGTACAATTTTAAATGCATACTTATATATATCTGGGTACTGTAAGCTGCAATAAAGCTACAACTTTTCCCAATGAAATTTGCCTAAGCCATTCAGCACGACTGGTGCATTTGTAGTAAGATAACATTTGTTACCTAAATGCAATAATGGTACCCACGTGTGCATTTAGTTCATCTGTCTTCTTGAAAACCTTCATTTAACTAAAAGTCAAGATGGTAACAGTTTTTTTATAAGTTACTAAGGACTACTTATGTAATATGATTGTGTAATAAGATATTTACTTATGTAATATTGAAATCGTAATAATTAATTACATGCCAAAAAATGTGAAAAACTTTCCATGATTTACCCTGAATTATGAAGACAATTGATATGGATTTTTCTACTAATTTAGACAGTTTTAATGAACACATAGTAAACTAGCGA